TTTTTTCCATTGCTTATTATATTACATCTGATTATTTATAAAATTATTCCAAAATTTTTTGTATTTAATATATTTATGCACTGAAAGGCAAAAAATTCCACCGAATTGTTTTTTTTCATTTTCTCGACAAAAGAAAATTCTGCCCTTAATTTGTCTCTTTGTTTTTACCAATAATATATGTTTATCCCATGTTTTAAATTGGGAATATCAATTAGACGTAAACACACTTTATCCTTAATCCAAAACAAGGATAAAGAATTTTTCAATGTTTACTTTTTATGGAATGTAATATGTTTCTCTCTCTATCTGAATTCTTCTTCTTCTTTCGTCGCAGTCTCATTTAAATTCTGAAGCAACAAACTGCTTAGTTTTCATCTTTGTTTTCTTAATTTCAAGTTTTAAACTTAAAAAGGGGATGTTGTGCGTCGTGTGGCACTTATTGATAATGGACGTTCCATCAGGTATGCGGCTATTGCCATCGGAGTTCCCTATGAAACTGCGAAACGCCGTTAGACGTTTTCGAGAAACTGGGTCTTACCGTAGAATGCCTGGTCCTGGTCGTCCTACGGTAACAGAACCACAGGATGACCGTTTTTTTACTTTGCGAATTTTGCGAAACCGCTACCTTACTGTTGTTCAAGCGATTCATCAGCTCCAGAAAGTTCGAGTTGTCAAAATTTCAAAATGCACTGCTCGAAGAAGATTAAATAATTATGGACTGATGGCCTTTCGCCCCGTAAGAGGACTAGAACAGACCAAAACACACACAGTTGCACGGCTCTAGAACACAGCAATTGGTCTTTGGACGATTGGTCTGCTGTACTTTGTAGAGATGAGTGTAGATTTGCTCTACGATCTCCAGATGGGCGAGAATGAGTGTGGTATAGAATGAAAGGTACGAACCCTGTCATTTTTCCCAGAGCCAACCTTTTTCAACGTAGTTCAGTGACGGTGTGGGTGGGAATTTCAATGGAGAATCGCACAGAGTTGGTTGTTGTTCGAGAAGGGTCTTTGACTGCCACTCTCTAGGTGGATGAAATTTTGGAACATCATGCGTTGCCTAGCCTCGATGAAATCTGCGACAATCCTATTCTAAGGGATGATGATGCCCGTCCAAATGTCGATAGCATAGTACAAACGTACCTTCACCAGCACATCAGGGTCTTAGCCTGGCCAGCCCGTTCTCCAGACTTGACCCTCATGGAACATCTACAGGATAACCTCAAAAAACGAATAAGGGCTCGTCCATCACTTCCTATACACTCGACGGTCTTGAAATGTCCCTTCGTGAAGAATGGGCTAACCTCCAGCAAACGGAATGGTAGCAAGTAAACGCAGGCGTCTTCGAGATGTAATTAACGCAAGAGGAGAAAATACACGATATTGAAATGTTAATTAAAAACCTAATTAAAATAAATTTTGTCTGTCCGTCTTTTTTCATTTTCCTTAGCAATTTACATTTTTTTAAACAGAAACTCAATTATTACACGTTAAAAAACATGAAACTATGATTAATATATAAAAATATATACAAGTCAAGTTACAAGTGGGAGGAATTTTTTGCAGTGTATATATTGATACATATTAAATACTAGTTTATAGTAAAATCTGCTGCGGATGAGACGGGCGTAGCCTCAAAAACGTTACAGGAAAAAATTTAGATAAATGATCGACATAGTTAAGTTCATCATTGTCTCCTTCCACAATTAAAAAAGAACTTCAATTGTTACAAAATACTTTTCCACTGCTTTCTACTGACTATACCTTACATTTGAAATTAACAGTTGCATAATACAATATTACGAACGTGATTTGGATGAAGGAGGAAAACATAACCGGTAACACACTTTTTGAAACGAATAAGAACTGAACTTTTGAAACAAACGATTTTCTTTCATCGGAAAGATTTACTTTTCACAAACTTTTGCATAAAGTATATTACAGCTGAAAACTAAGGGCTTTACTTTTATAAAGGAAACTGAAGAAATTCTGACGTACATGAAGTCGTACCGTAAAAACTACTCGTTATTTACTAACCGAATTTGGGTACGTTTTTGTCCTATACAATGCTTATTAAACTTTTATTAGAAGTTCTTATATTTATATTATGGGACCTATTGGACAAAATGATTTGATTCATTATTAATTGTGACCCTTGTATCTATATTTAAAAAAAAATCAAATTCACTATTACTAATTTGTAAGATATGTAATACTTTCAATCGGTAGGATAGTTAATTTATAACATTAATAATCTAATTCACTAGTTTTCGTGGTCCGCTTGACCAATTAATATATTTCAATTATTTAAGGTTTTTAGTTGAGATAAAAAAGTCAGTGTCACGAGCGGGATTCAAACCCACAAACTTCGGCTAGATACGCCGCTACTCTATTACCTGAACTATCGTGACTTCGATCCACTCGGACACTAACTTTCCATCTCAACCCTATAATCACATCGGATCTGAACCGACAGAAATCAGCGAGGATAGGCAGACGAAGATAATAGATAATTATCAAAGAATAGAAAACCTGGATGTTTGACAATAATTGTGCTTTTATGTTATCCAGTTAAGTTTTAAAGCATATGAAAATAAATAAAGAAGTGAGATCTTAAACATTTTTCTAAAGCTTCATTAAGTTAGAAATATATAAAAAATCGAAAAGTTTTATAAAAAAATAGTAAACGATGTTTAAAAAAGTAAAAGTTGTTGTAGGATTAGTATTATGAACTCCTAGCCGGCAGGGTATGCCCGTTTGGTATATTTCGATTTTTTGTTTCTATTCAGTATGCTTTTTTCATTGCAATTCAAAAAACGTAAATCCGAAATAGTGTCGACCTAAATTGTGCTGTATAGTAATGGCCGAATTTGTTAATTAATAAGCAAACCGCAAATAATTGTGAAAAATAATCTTTAAAAGTTTACAAAGAAAATAAAAACTGTTAAATATCAATAGTAAGGGTTTGTTTTTCGATGTTCAAACCAGTACACAACCGGGAAGATTCGTGTTATCGAGCTTTTAAGTAGACTGGAACAAACAAAATATTCACCCTCGAATTTGTAGACTGGGATGTACATAACGTGATTTTGATGGGCCATCCGAGGGTGTGTCAACCACCATATAAAACAGTGTATTATATTTCCCTCGAACCCCTCGACAGGACGGGCCGATCTTCAACACAACTCCGGCTTGTATTACTAAAAGTGTTTGCTCAAGTATATTCGACAGGGTGTTCGACCTGGGAAGTGTTTTTTTCCTATTCCGTTCATTTTTCTCCGGCAGAGTTAAATCCTCGAACGGCTTGTTCTTAGCAGATCCTTGTACATTTATTGACCAGGACGGAAACCAGTCCCACGAAGAAAGTTGGTTGTGCCTTTTTTTACGCAGGACCATTTAGTCCGCGGACCTGAAGACTATCTGAGTGGGACGACTTCTCCGTGATACTCCATCGTCGCGCCGCATTAGCCTGTACTTACTGTGACCCTGCATAATCAGCATTCTACCGGAAATCGCCTTTGTTTTTTTTACTTTTGTACAAGCTGTTGAAGAAAAAAAACACTTAATCCTTGTAAAAAAATATGCTAGATTAATTCTACTATTTTGTTTTTTACAGTGACGCCTCGGATTAGTTTTGTTACCATATACACAAATAATTTACATAAATAATAAATTAGTCAACACCCTAAAATTCACATTTTTTTTAATTACAATAAACTTCGAAACATTTTCGATAATATTGCCACATTTGAATTAGGATCCACAATAAACTCTTACTAAAAAATACACGATAGTAACTACTTGGAAACTATTCGTTAACTTATGAGTAATTTGTAATAAATATTTTGATTAGCTTTAATTTAAGACATTAACCAATATCAAACATCCTAACGTCTACATCTTTTTTTTTCAGTCCTACCTTAACTTTAACCTTAATTTTAATTTAAGCTGTAGCTACATAAAAAGACTCAAAAAAAGAAAAGGAAAAGTATAGTGTGAAAGGAAGTGAGTGAGAGGGAGTGAGAGAGAGAGAACGAGAGAGAGAGAGTGAGAGAGAGAGAGAGAGAGAACATGGAAAAAGAGAAAAGTATAACTACTTAATATGTACTTAAATAAGTAACATGCTTCATAAATATGAATACAAATGATATACTAGATTTTTAAAATATTAAAAAAAATTAACAATTGAACATTTACATAATTAATCTCCAGGGGGAAATATTATACTTCTGGGCGTTCAAAGTCACTTACCACCTACGTGTTTTAATGTACGAAGGGCCCGCCCCCCATTCTGCTCACCCCTACGGGTTATATTAAATGTGATTTGCATTTTACGAAATTCCGTTTGGGATTAAAGGAGACAACGGAGATTTATTTCTTCCAGCTCCATCCTCCCCTCGATCCCCTTTTATCGTGCGTAACTTTCTCATTCACCTCACTTAACTCTCGGATCTGAGGAATTTTTATAATTCCGCGTATATTATTGCGATTTGAATGAAATTGATTTTGAGGCAAGAAATAACAAATGGGCTGTCAAAACAATTTAAACAAAAATTAAAGTGAACTAGTTTGTCGAGAAAGAGATAATAAGTTGAAAAAAAAAGTTATGTAAATAGGCAAAAGAAGGAAGATGAAGAGACAGTGAGAGAAAGTATTATAAAGTATATTAGATAGGTAGATAGATAGATTGATAGATAAATATATATATATATATATATATAGAGAGAGAGAGAGAGAGCTAGAGAGAGAGAGAAAGAGTTGATTGAAAGAATGATTATTGTTTTATATCAAAATCTCGCAAATTTAAGCCGAGACCGACCTCTTATATGTTACGAGGGGGGGTGAGAGAAGAAACAGGAAGGGTGATAATAATTAATATAAACAGATAAATTAATTAATTTGCTACAAAACATATAGATGTTGAAAATATATTGATGGAAGAAAAATATATCGGTAAAGTGAAAGGTACTTTGCGCTTGATTATTACAACTGATAAAATTTTAACCACGTTTTTATTACATGTGTTCATTTTTTTCTCAGAACCAAACTCTTTTCGAAATTAATACAAAAATGACCATCATTAACACGATTTTAAATAAGATCCATTTTGTTTACGTAAGTTCGTACATCTGCCTTTCTGCTGTCGGGATGTCTGCTCTGTGCTGCAACGTCAGAAATCACGTAGATGAAAAGCGTGAAAAAAAGAAGCAGATGGCAAGTAGGTAGACTTTTTGATTTGAGATTGATTTGTCCAGTTTTCTTTGAATTTATCGTAATAAACGTGCCTGGCAGGGTTGCAAGATCAGATTCAGTTTGAAAGATTATTGGAACATTGGAAGAAACAAGCAGCAGATTATTGAATCGCGATTTCAAACAAACATATTCCTCTTTTTTTGTAAAATTAAAATCAAATAAACTTCGAACTTCGTTTGCTTTTAGTACTTCTGTAGGTTTACAGCTTGGGAATATTCTCTTATCACGTTTAGGCCATTTTGTAGTATTTTTGGTTTTCCTTATATGTATTTTATACATTGCCAAACACTAGGTTCCTTTTAGCTTTCTTTGTATCAATATTCTATTCAATAGAAGTTAATATTTATAAATATGTACTGTTCAAACATTTATTATACGATGACGAAGACCTAGGTAAAACCAATCATTAGTAAGATAATTTTTGTTTTTTTGTCATAATAATTAAAGAGTCATTATAGTTAAATAAAACTTTCTCATACATTCTCTCTCTCACTCACTTACTCTCTCACTCTCTCTCTCTCGCTCTCTTACTCTCGTTTTCAAACTCACACTTTTATTCTTTGAGATTATTATAAATATTTTATGTAGAATGTAGGTGTTTTCTTTACACACACAAATCGGAATTTTTGACTAATGAAGAAGTAGGAACGTACTGACCAAGACCGACCAATTAAAGTAGGTTTGGTCTAAATGAGCAAATCCACTGAAATTTCTTTTCTGTAAACTAAACCGTTCAATTTAAAAACACTGTTGAAGTTAAGTGTTAACCGCGGTGGTAAACGAGGCGCAATGTTCAAAATGAATCAGTCGCTTTTCTCCTCACGCTTTTCTATTATCGCCTCCTAAAAGGAAACAGAATTGGCCCAATTTCCGTAAATAATAGTCGCCTGAGAGATTTGTTGATGTGTAAATAAGGTGGATGTTGGGCGCTGAAATGTTCTTCGTCCTAAGGGAGATAGTGTTTGGGGTAGAGTGCGGTAAATGAGTGAGATAGGGCTAAGGGTCTTGAGGGCCGTGTCGTGCAACTTAAACAAAGTACTGCCCGATTCCGACCACGTACTCATACCGTATTCCGACCTCACTCCACCAACTCAAGAGAAGAGAGGGAGCGAGAGGGAGAGTGAGGGAGAGCTAGGAGAAAGAGAAGCCTGTTTTCCACCCTATTTTATTGGAATAATGAAATCAGACTGTGCCCTCTAGGAGTATCTCTAAACTAATTACCATACACCTTCCCTCAGGCTCTACCTAATTATTACGAATTATACCTGATTTTAATTAACAAAGCCCCCCTGCTTCCTATTCGCCATGATTTTTGAGCCCCTCTTCTTTCGATATTCGGGCTAATTAAGTTTCCTTGTAATTAGTATTAGCACACTGAGGGTTCTTTTCGGTCTTCTTTTAGATATTTTACCACTTCTATACTCGTCACATAACAAACTAATTGAGAGAAAAACAATTATTGAATGACGAAAAAGTAATAAAACTCATAAGATTCTGTGTATGGTTTGGGGGGGGGGAGCTATGAATTACAGGAAACCGTAATTTGGTCGTAACGGGTTTGGTCTATCTTTGCTTTTTTAGTTTAACCGATGCATCGAGAAATGGTTAAATGACCCGAATGATCAGAACGACCAAATTACAGCCAAATTCTTGAGTTTAATAAAACAGTTCAACCCACGTTTTCATCCTTTAAAAATAATATTTGATCATGTAGAAAGAAGAAAAGTTTTCTGGATGTCTCTTACATTTTTTGGTTTTTACATGACCTATTTCCTTTTTTTAAATAATTTTTAATGAAAAAAAAATTTACGGTCTAGAACATTTTTTGGGCTTTATGGGCTTTTTACTTTCTTACGACCATATGCCCAGCACTTTTTTTTCATAATGTTCCTCAATTAAAAACTTTTGCCTCCAGAGGGCTTGAATAATTAGTGAGGATACATTCTGGTGTAGCACATGAATCATTACGCTGTCAAAATTAAACGTAGTAAATTTGGTAAGAAATCAGACGAAAACTTTAGCATGTAGAATTGAGGTAAAAATATTCCAATCCTCAGTCTGGTCATAGCTGGACGTCAACCTAAATGCTGGACTAGTTGATTTATTTTGGATCTAGTATATCGGTTGACTATATTTCATTACATATGATGATCGTAATTGGGATTTATTATAATAATAGGAACTTTGTGTAAATTTCAATTAGACGCGTATCGCTTCATCATCTCCGGAAAGCTGTTTTATTTTGCGTTATATGACATAACCTATTCTCATCCTCGAACTTTTTTGTAAATTGAGTTGTATATTTGTTGATTCCTTTATCTGAGGTTCCTGGCGTTATTACAAACTATTATCTTTATTATCGTTATCGTATACATACACATTAGATGTCGAGTTAGATTTTTGGCGTTGTGTTTGAAATGTTTTGACCCAATGCAATTTAAAGTTCTTGGTAAACTTTGCCAAAAGAAGGCTAACAGACTCGAGAGGAATGCAGATGATAAAACTAAAAGTGTAATCAGACCGTGGAGGAAGTAACGTAAATTGAAGCATACCAATCAACTTATTATGGCGCTCCACAAAATTAGCATGGACACTATCACCAAATTACAAAGTATAGATTTATAAAATAAAGACTATTATTTATTGTTTATTTATTTGTAAAATATATTAAGAAAATTCATATACAGATATAGTCAGCTCTACAAAAATTAAGTTTAACAAGAATAATATGATAATGGCTTTTGGTTAACATTAGTGAACCTAGAGTCCATAATTATTGCAGCAACCTAAAGGAAAAAATATTTTGACATAATGGACGACATAATGTATTTGTATGTATGTATATCCGATAATAGTTGACTATTTTAATATATTGCATTTTATATTACAGACTAGGTGACCAAAGTAATATGCTCCACCCACCTTATTCCTTCCATAATCAAACTATCAAACATTGACTATTTTTTCTGTAGTGTTTTAACCATTGAAAGATATTTGACTTGATTTTAACAAAAAGAAGCCATTTTTGAAATAAGCAATAAAATTATACACTTTTACTGAAGAAACCAACCATTTCATGGATTCTCCTGTATATCTTGTGTTAAAATGGACTTTATATAGTCTAAAAAAAATTAACAAATCTATTACTTTGGTCACTCTTGTGTTCATTTTACCTCCATATTGTTTTTTCAGGGTTTGATATTGACACGGAGTTTAACATTCAGTAAAGAATATTAGCGCTAAATTAACTATTCTTTCTATGTAAGGTCTTGGTTGAGATAAAAAAGCCGGTGTCACGAGCGGGATTCGAACCCACGACATTCAGCTAGATACGCCGCTACTCTACTACTTGAGCTATCGTGACCTCGATCCACTCGGACACTATCTTCCCATCTCAACCCCACCTTTTGCCTTTTCCCTCCTTTTTGCCATTTTTCAAAAGTCGTGTAATCAGGATTCAATTCTCGTCGACAAATGAAATGGCCACAAAGAGCTTTAGTGAAGATATACTTCGTTTTATTTATTAAATCCATTTTATTTCGTGGACCGATTGACTTCTTTCAATTAATTAATCTTTATGTAAGGTATCGGTTGAAATAAAAAAGCTAGTGTCACGAGCGGGATTCGAACCCACGACCTTCGGCTAAATACGCCGTTACTCTACCACGTGAGCTATCGTGACTTCGATCCTCGACCAGAACTTACATAGAAAGAATAATTAATTGAAAGAATTAACTTGGTCAATTAACCACTAAAACGTAAATGGATTAGTGCTAAATATTGTAACTTATAAATTATAAACGACTCTCAACGTTAAATCCTGTATTGAATTAATATTACCGCAACTGGCTCGTTCTAACACTGTGTATCTGTACGGGTGCTTGTTTTATGTCTGGTTCTACATGAGTGAGTGGTTGCACGTGACAAGCGGCACCCCGCCGACAGCGAAATCACCTATTATTACTGGAGAGGGTGGATTACCTTAATCGACTTGTTGTTTCCCTCCTTCTGAACGCACCGGCCGGGTTTGTTTCACCAGAGATCTTGTATTGACTATCTTCTTTGCGATTCCGATTTTAAATGGGCAAATTACCGCTCGCCCTACCAGATCTCACCGATCTCGATCGGAGATGGGGAACATACGGACTTAATTCAGTGAGCGTGCAGGGTGAAATTAAATTGGTTTTGTGTTGCTTTAAAGCTTTTACGAAGCTGACTCAATTGAATAAGGCCCTGGCGAAACGTAATTCCATTTCGTTCCATTCTCTTCCCTCTTCTACTTTTATCAGAAGAGATCGCAAGATTATCCGCTAACGGTGCATTTCAAGTTTACATGTGTAATTTACGGTCAAAATGTTGTTCCATCCCTTTTTTCTTAAAGCTGCTATTGTCGTTTCTAATCTTTCTTTAAATCTAAAATTGGTCCTTGGTTTCAAACAGGAAACGTTACGAACATTTCGTCCATTGTTGTAACCACAAAAATTAGAAAAAGTATTTTATGAGTTCTTTTTTGCCGGCATTTCCATTTAAAACTGCCTATAAATTTATAGAACACAGCAATGATTAGTGCCAAGGGGATTATTAAAAAAATTATAAGCCATTGTTACATTATACAGTACATTTTTTATTAAATAAGCATAATTAATATTTTATAATTACAATTAATTAAGGTTTTTAGTTGAGATTAAAAAATCAATGGCACGAGCGGGATTCGAACCCACCATCTTCGGCTAGATACGCCGCTGCTCTACCACTTGAACTATCGTGACCTCGATCCACTCGGACGCTAACTTCCCATCTCAACCCCACCTTTTGAATTTTCCCTCCTTTTTGCCATTTTTCAAATGTCGTCAAATCGGATTGGATTCTCAAGACAAAAAGACGCTCTCATTAATCAGTCCAAAATATATTTTTTTCGAAAACAAAGTTCAGATTTGTTTTACGCACCCTTTACAACTTTAAATATAAATTTTCATACCAATCAAAAATATACATTTAATTTAAGTAAAACATTTTCGGCAACATTTTTACTCACGAGTAATCTGGATCTTGGTGTGGTCGGAATGAAGTAACCAATTCAGTTGTTACAACCAAGCTTTCGAGCAATTTTAAGGCCATAATTATTAATATAGGTCCTGATGATGCCCTTAAAATAGGTCGTAAGTTTGGC